TAGGTGCGCATGACGTGCGGCGGTGGCGGCAAATTCAACATTTTTAACAGCGCCACCAACTGACCAATTATTAGTTATTGTCGATTTTTTTAAAGTATGACACTTAAAAGGGCTTGTTCTCATATGTTCTTTTAATATAATGATCTTATAACTCATTTCTATCTCTTCGTAGCGGCTGATGTTCCATTTAAGAACTTAATTTCTTTCTATTTCACCCAGTTCAACCGAACGAAATCGTTTGTTGTGCCCGCATAGTCTGATACCATCCGTTGGCATTGTATACTAGCTACATCTTTGAAAACATGCTGCATCGGGTTTTAACAACTGGAAAAACGACTACTGTGATACAGCTTACAAGAGGCAAGAATTCACTGCGATAAACGAAAAATGCTTTGGAAATTTATTTATATTTATTTCGGTTTAATAAATCTCAAATACAGAAATTCGAAAATCTATAATGATTGGATTACAAAATCTGTCTATCCAATGCATGGTTTAAAAAGGACGACAGATTTCGCGCATCGTTGCAAACTCTTGGAGGCACACTATTGTGAATCGCCCGTGTTGATTAATAGTTTTAATACGGGCGATTCGCAATAGTGCGAAAGGGTCGACAAATTTCGCGCGTTGTGATTGGCCAACGCGTTGCAAAACTCTTGTGAATCGACCCGTATTGCCGTGACCGGGAACGATGTTATGGTGTGCTATAGATGACAAAATTGCGTCTCCTCAGATCGCCCCAACGCCACAAGGCGACGCCACGACGCAACGTGACGCCACGTCGACCCGGTGCGTCGTGCCGTTGCGTCGTAGCTGCCCCAGGGTAGCTACTGCGGTTTTCTGTTGAAATCATGAACCAGAAATTTGCCAACTGTTACCACTGTTTCGACCTGCTAAATGTTAACCATGATCAGGAATGAACCAACAAACTCATTACTAAAACATGAAAAAAACCTATAGCACAGGAAAGTCTTTAAAATTTGGGCCAAGTTGATTGAGGAAGTGTCTGCCTTGAATGCAAGAGAATAAATCCCGGAGGATGGGGTATAATCCCCCATTTTGGGGTGGAGAGCTAAACTATTCAATCGTTCCCCACCTTTTCGCGTTAAAAGCCATGAACGTAGTTAGCATTATTTTCAACTTTTGCTTCACCATTTCAAAGGATATTTTACAGCCTTTTTGGTTTTTATGCCAATGAATTTTTCTATATTCATGAGGAAAACTGTGATGTCATCTCAGGTAGAAGCTTCAATGTTACAAGTTGGTTTGTAAACAAACAGTCCTGCATTTTTGTTGATTTTGCAGGACTGACTCACGGTTGTTGATGTGCACTGCACTAAGAAGCAAGCATCGAACCCCCTTTTCAGAACTGTTTTCATTAAGTGTAGATTCTGGGTTCACAATTTGAAAAGAGAAACTTATGCAACGAGCATGTCTTCCCCAGATGACTTCACAGTTACTAGTATACCAATATATTGACTGCTTCGAGTGGTATAGTAAAACTACTAGCCTCCCGAGGTGATCCACGAGATTTACCGCGAGATAAAGCAGTCAATATTTGTTTTATAACACTTCCGCACAGATTCTGCAAAATTTAAGCTAAAAATTAATAATGAAACACCAAACTGAAAGTTACATTCATCAAATTGAATTCAAGAATTCCAAGCGGAACAGCAACGTTTGAATACATTCATTAATCAATGTTGTTCGCTATGAGACGAGGCTATGCTTTGGTTGCTATGGGTATAGTTCTTTTTCAGAATGAGGCTGCATGGTATAGTGTTTTTGAAGCGGTGGTATAAAAATAGTAAAATTAGCAAGCGTCCCATGACACACCTTCGACAATCAAAATACAGAAACTGTGAGTGAGGTGTTATAATGCTGACTAGTGCCCTCAGTTCAAGCCCACTTTAAGTGTTTAAAAAAGTGCACTTTTCAATGGATTTAACGAAACAGTAAAGTGAAAGGGTTTTCATACATTAAAGAAAAATACATTTGTAAAAAGTTAAAGAAAAATTCATTGCAGCTACACTTTAATTTAAATGGGACACGTGCACGCAAGCGCTGCCAGCATGCACACTAGTCGGACATTAACTTGATGACTTTCTCGCAACGTTGTGGGAAAAGCCCCATAAACCAAAATTATGTAAACTGAAAAACATATCCTACATTACTCCACGCCGACCTCATATTTTTTTCGTAGCATAATGCTGACCTGCAGTTTCCTTGGCCTTCTGTTAACCTGCTACATGTGTACGTGTACTGTACATGCATGTTAGCGCCGTTGCGCGCCGTCACCCTCGACCCTCCAGCATGATTCTATGGAACGCCAAAGAAGCATTTAATGCGATTACCGAATCGGTGGTGCACTTCAGCAATCGGTGATGCATAATAACGATCGGTGATCACCTGTCAGCTAGCGATGCATATTCACTAGAGGCGCATTGCACTCAATCGGGAGGTCAACGCAAGCGTGCGATACACAGAGAACTATCGATTACTTTGTGCAACCGAAATGAGCCGCCAGGCAACCGCCGTGGGAGAAGGGTGCACGCGCGGACAATCTTGAGGGAGGCCATAATTGACGGTAGTCGGTAGTTTATTAACAGGTAAGTAAATGAAGACCGTCAGGGGTTATTTATAGGGATTTGTCGTATTTTTTTGCTTGTGAGCATGATCACGTGAACAGTTGCTGGCGATAGTATTTCCGCCCTCCATGCCATGGCGTCTTCATTGAGATCGAGAAGGTAAAGACACCGTTCATATTCTCTTCGCCATTTCATTTGGGGGTTGTAATGGCTTGAAGTTTCCCTGAACAGGTGATCCCCCGAGAATTTCGGAAATCCGTTACCATTTGTTCATAAAGATAATTTTTAAAAACGATCCCTTCATTCCATTGCAAAATAGAGCAACCGAGGGGGGGGGGGTACACTGCATCGAAACAGGGCCCATCCTAGAAGCTTCAAGTTCACAGTTCACACTGACGTGGCGACTAGGGTCCAAGGTTGTCTCCTGGCCACGCAAAATCCTCTTATAACATGATTTGAGGCTATGCACATGCGATTCGTTCAGGGTACATGTAGGCCCCTATGCGCAATCTAGTTGTGGGCCCATACACCACAAGGCGTAGATGATCGTAAAAATCATTCTGAAAGGTTCGGATGTGCACGCTGTCGACATCATGTTTTTTCATTATCGACTGCGTACATTTATGGGGCAGTGGGGTGCGAACGGTATACTAGTATGCGAAATACATCCACGAACGGCCCTTAAGCTAGGCTTCCAATCGATATACCCTCCTTTTTTCAGGTGGCTGCAATTTTTGCAACGTGGCAGGGCCTACAGTCTTGCAACGTGGCAGGGCCACTCTACAGTCATTAGGTCTACCAGGTGAACGATACGTTATACTGGCTCCTGATAACTAGCCGTGTGATCATATTTCCTGGCCTGTTTTCCAAAATGGTCCCCGGCGTGGTTCAGTCATCATCCACATCCATTCAAACAACGTTGATCATACCATGCATCGTCGCACGAATTTGACCCTAGGTTGTAGTGCTCTGGAAAAGTGAGGCACACACGCTCAGGTTTTTCTCATTCATGTTTTTTTTTCTCGACATGATCAGCGTCACTCGATCTTCTGACAATCCACAGAGGGGTTTTCACACTCATTTCCTGGCACTGTTCTGAAGAGTATCGCTGAAACCTGACTGGCCTCATGGAGTCACAGTTACGAAGTCTGTTCCACGACCCGGAGTACTACGTGAAGTCCTTTCACCGTTACTCGGCTCTCTGCGCGAAATTCAGCGTGTATGCCAACTGGGTAGACACTGTCTTCGGTGACGAGGTTGTTGCGAAAATCAAGGCCACTCTAGGCGAGCAAGAAGAGTTGCGAGTCCTGGGGATTGGGAGTGGATCAGGTACTGTTGTAAACTTCTTATTGGCATTGTCGTATATTTTCACAGATAGAAGGTTTAGGTTCGAAAGCAGTTTTTTCCTCCAGACGAAACTTTTGCAGACTTAAATAATTTTAAAACATATTATTGGTGGTACGTGAAAAAAATTAATGAAGCCCGTTTGCATTTAAAAGTGGTTGAATTTTGTTCTGTCAGGCGAGATGGACTTGAAGATGCTGACCAAACTCTTGCCGCGATTCCCTCTCATCAACAACCGTGTAGTCGAGCCTTCGCAGGACCAGCTTCTCAAGTACAAAGCTCTGGCTCAAACTAGGGCTCAGGAGCTACAAGGCGTGGTAAATTTTGACTGGCGGCAGCAGACCATCGATCAGTACGAACAGACGGGAGATTCGAGAAAGTATCACTTCATAAGTTCGGTTCACTCCATCTACTACGCGAAAGATATCGATAGTTCCTTGATGACTCTGTACAACTCTTTGGAATCTGGAGGAGTAATGATGGTTGTTACTATCTCAGGTAGTTTTTGAAAATTGTTGTCCGTACTGTATGTAAGCTTTTCATAATATTCATATAAAAGCAAGGTTCCCTTCTTTTTGGATGGAAAAGAACCAAGTACTGCAAATTTACAAAATAAGCTCAAGCTGGAATCTTTTCCGAGTTGGCCTCTATCTCGGCGACTGACATGCACCAGTCCCATAAAGCTATTTATGACCAGTCCACAGGTTCGGTTGCGCATGCTTGCTTGTGCGGGTGCGCTTATTTTGCGTATTATTTTTGTGTTGCGCATTATTTGTATTTCAAGAAGAGAACGAAAATGTGCGAACTTTTAAAGGGTAGCCATTTTACTTCACACCCAGTCCCATAATCCTTTTGCTTGTGCCTTGGCGTTGACTGTTTAGGGGCAAGTGACCCAAAACTAATGTTCTGTCAATATATTTCTTGAAACATGCTGGGAAAATATCGAGAGCCTGCTACGCTCGAACGCATGTACACGGTTTCTACAAACAGACTTGGATTATTCATTGCTCCCTACATGCCACAATGAAGCACTCCTAAGTCATATTTGGGATAAATATGTGAATATTCTTACATTAGAATGAATTCTTCGTATTCTCTCCAGACGAAAGTGGGTTTTGGCGTCTGTGGAATCGCTTCCCACATTTCCAAGACAACCTCATGACCTTCATCAGTACGGCTCACGTGCGCAGTTCCTTCGACCGCCGGGGCATTCCGTACACACAGCACCACCAGCGCTCGCGCGTCGAGATCACCCAGTGCTTCGACGAAACGTCCGAGGAGGGCGCCCTGGTTGTGGATTTCCTGACCCACGTCTTGAAATTCAAGGAGACAGCGCCAGCGGAGCTCTACAAGGAGACCATGGAGTATCTTGGCAGCAGCAGTTGCTCTGAGAAGAGTGGAGATGATGTGTTCTTTAACAACGACTGGGATGCCGTTGTCGTGAGCAAGCCAGTGGACTAAACGTCCACAAGTTGGACGACGTTTTCGGCAGTATTGTTATACTTGCATCATGAAATACAACATGTCTTTAAACTGAAATCAACACCTGTTTAAGTTTCGAGAAACGATAAGTCAGTAAATTTATGAGGTTTTTAAACTACAACGTATGTAATACAAAACTGCTGCAAACTGCTTGCTGACTACAGTGACTTAAAATACAAATCACAAAATACAGAGGGCCTCATTTTGCTAGGATAAAAACGTCAGGCCCTCCATATTTTTTTTGTAAACTACATGTACTTTGCAAACGTAGTTTTCCAATAGTTTATGGCTTTTGACAGGTAATTGTGAATAAGGGCGATTCAGACTATATTACGCCTCCAAGAGTAAGCAACGCGTTGACCAATCACAGGGCGCAAAATCTGTCTACCTAATGCGCGTTTGGAAAGGGTCGACAGATTTCGCACACTGTCGGTGAACGCCTTGCAAACTTTCGGAGACTCACTATTGTGAATCCACCGTATTGATCTTTATCCAAATTGTAAAAATGGACAGTATCAAAAGGGACATTATACAGTTTTAGCATTAAATAGATTGTTAAAAGTCAATGATAACTTGGAATTTTTGGAGATATGCATCAATTTTTTTTCTGCGAACGAAACGATGGCGTTTTAATAACGGGTTAAATGTGTACTTTTTGCATGAACGCTGGACGCTGAAAACGGCGAGGGATATTATCAGAGCTTCCCTGCCTTAAAAAAAATCCCTCAAGCCATGTCACTGTATGCATGTGCCCTGACGAATGGTCGTAAACAATCTCCTTATTATGGGATTGGCGTGCCATGCGCTGCGGTGGTACAAGTGAATTGCTTTTTTCTTTATATCGAAATAGCTACACCGTATTAGGCATTTATGAATTATGATCACAATGTGATTTCATTACAGAGTCATGATCCAGATATGGCTCACAAAATGGTCAAAACATGGTTGAGGAAATGAAGACCAACTGGATATGCACAACCAGAGATAAAATTATGGCTTGCTAAGATTTCTTGTTGTCAGCGAAAGGTGATTTCCAAACCAGCTTGTATTCATATGAAACTACCCCCGTTTTGCCTGGCTAAATTATGCGCTAAAATCAGTCATTGATTTTGATTAATATATTCAACAGGACGAAATTTATATTAACGTGACATTCAAATGAACAATTTTTCACTGTTAAGCTCGATTTTTTGCTGTTTTATTTGAAGGAATATTTCTTTAGGCCTATGTCCAACTTTTACAATCACTTTGTGATTCACTTTGTGTGAACGTCTGTATAATTTTTGGATCTTAATAAAATTGAACGTAATGACAGTGCTCGCACTCTCCTTTTTAAATTTTTGATAGCATCATGGATGCAACGCACTGCACCAATTTTGTGCACATTTATTTCATATTAATGTGATTTAACTTTACATTACGGCCGAATGAACTCGATTCACAATAGTGCACCTCCAAGAGTTTGCAACGCGCGCGTTGACCAATCACAGTGCGCGTTGCAAATTCTTGGAGGCACACTATTGGGAATCGCCCGTATGATTCCTTTTCCAGCATGACCAACCGCCGAATTTAGAGGATTTGTGAAGAAAAGACTGTTATATACACCAAGCATTTGAATGTATGAAACTGATCTTCCAAAATAGCCTTCCACAGGTTTTACAATGAGCCAGTATTTAAAACAGGTACTCCGTTCGCTCACCACACTTTCTTTCGATACAAGTTATGTTTCTTTTTTATTATTATTATCAACGTCCATTCTCATGCTTTACGTCATCATAGGCTAACTGCAGAGGCTTCCCACTGCGCGCTCGCATCCCTTTCTAAGTTTGCGCCCCTCCCTGTCTGAAAATCCTGGATCCTGCACATTATACAGAAACATGTGAAACATTCATTAGCCTATTTGTTTCTTGCAACTCCTGAAGAAATCCTCTCCAAAAATTGCTCATTTAGGAACTTCTTTTGTAGTCGGTGTTTTCATCATCCATTAATTGTTATCACCCTGATCATTATTTTGTAACCCATATACACCGTCCCAATTTGCTGCTCAATATCAGTGTTCCAATTTTGCTTTCAAAAGCTCTAGTCCGTCGCAACCTGTCAGGCCATCTTTCACGTCCCCATGATCACAATCACCAGGGTTACTGAAAAGTTGTCCAAATTGAATGGGCGACTCGTCTCTGCCTTACATCGAAATGGGGGGGGGGGTTGTGAGGGCCCACAACACTCGGGGAAAAAACAAAAACCTATCTTTGATTTGATAGCATTCAGTAGGGAGTGCCTCAGGCGAAACATGACTTTTTATTGAAATAACGAGCCGAAACATCAAAGTCATACGGGTCAAAAAAGTGGATTTTAAAAGCCGACATAATGGGGAATGAAACAGTCTGGTGCTTTGTCAAAGTATGGTATCCTGGCTCTTCTTGATTACGCTTGGATTTACGTAGCCTTATTTTAGAGCGTGTGTGGACGCACTCCGTCACTATCACAGGTCTACTCGGTCATTGTGGTAGGAAAAAAGCAGTTCCTAATTGAATGGCAGTTACAGAGACGAGGCACACATTGTGCATCAGTTGGTTTTGCCCGATTTTGTTGTTTAGTTTGTTAAAATAAGCCAGGTTAGCAGTGTTATTAGACAGCGTGCGATAAAGTTGTTTCCGAAAGCCGTCCATTCGAACACGTACACATGATCACATGATTGTGAAGTGGCCTTGTTTTGGCTTGATAACGGATGGACTCATACAGCTGGTGTGGACGCAGCTAGCGTCACTGACAGGTGTCGAATATTTATGCACCGTTTTCCTTCTTCCATGATTGCACTTGCTTTCCAGGTTGCATAACTCGTGGACTTGGATGGCTCCATAGTAATGAATAGATTTCTGAATTATCCCCACACCACTGACACAATTGACTCAGTGCATTGTCAGTGTCATGGGGGGGTTGATCCTTCCTTTAAAAAAAGACAGCAGTTTTTTTCAAATCAATTCAACATGAACTGGCATCCGACCCTGACAGATGAAACAATATTTGTGCCCAAATTGGCCTGTATGAGAAACCTTCACAGCTGATTTTTTTTCGATAAGTAGGCACTTGTTAATTTGAGTTTGAGTAAAGAGTTCCAAGTACGCATATTACTTGACTCCTTTTCAGTTTCATGCCTGTACACAAACCCTATGAGACTGGTCTGAAAAACATGAGTTTTCGATGCAAATGCCTTAATATTTTCCCTGCCAAATGTGACTTCTTAGGACGTTATCGCTTTCTGATGGCTAATAAAAACTTCCCAGGAAAAAACTAATGTCTGTATGTAGAACTTTCTATTTTGGACGTAAGGGTCCACAGACTTTTGGCATAAACTGTTGAACTTGGATCCCATAAAGTATAACATCTACAAAGCCAAGTGATATTATTTTGAAGCCCCTAGATCGTCTTCCAACTCAGAAAATGTGACCAAACTTGTAGGCAAAAGTGCTGAGAAAATGCCTAACAAAATTAACTTTGACCTCAAATTATTAAAATAAGTATGTTTCGCATTTTGTGATTTATTTTCTGACTGTTAATTTATGATTTCCACAATAACCTTTAAAGGTTGCTTCCACATGTAAAAACTTGTACATGTTCGTGTGTCTGCATAGCATTTTTGTGTGTTTACATGTGTATGAACATGTATTTCAATACAGTTTGTGCATGGCCCCAAAACAAAACAAAAAGTTGGGCTAAAGCAAGTAGGCTTGAAAGAGAAGCTACTTTTTTGTACATTTTTATGATTTAGGTCACAACTGTAAATGTTTAAAGCTAAAACCATCCTTTAGTTAAATGAGGTTAAATGTAGTTCTTACTTGTTTGTGCACTATAACTGGCCCAGAAATCATTTTGCAAAGAGTGAAGACGTGAGCACATATCATATTCACACAATCTTAGACAATGCTGGTACAGTGCTCTCAAAGTTATTTTTTAACATGATCCATATTGCCACTTCTTGCTCATGTTCATATTGAACTTTGCAGTTTGCCCATTTTTTTATAAGCACCAACATCTACATACATGTACATGTACATATATGACTTGGATTCATGTGTGCTTATATCCATATACATGAATAAGAATAAAGCATAATGATAAAAATGTGATTTGAACAAAACATTTTTATGCAGCCGGTCACCTGAGAACAAAGGTACAGAAAAAAGCTGACAAGTTATCCATGCTATCCAACAAAACATATTGTGTTCCGTTGAGTAAACAGCATTGGTTTCTTCTGTGGTTGAGTCGTTCAGTTCTTGCCCCATGTTGAGTTACATGTATATTCATTAAAGCTAAAATGTGGCAAAGGTGTACAACACCTGTGCAAAAGGCCTTCTTATTCATTCCATTGTGACTTGGATTTGACATGCGATTTGCTTGGAACTGGACTCTTGGTCGAAGGTTGAACAATCTGGCCGACTTCACTTAGAATCTATACTAGAACCATACAAACAGAACAGCAGATACATGTTAAGAATGCATTTGCAGGCATGTTTATTCACCTATGTATGCGAATCATTCATTCATTCTTGACTTTAGGAAATACAGAGGGTCGGATAGAGATTCCATCTTGCCCACTTTGGAGTCCAAGATCAAGTTGAGAACAGTTACTGCTCATCATGATGAAATGTTTTGAAGACTCTTTTGTTGCATTTTGCAAGCCATGCTGATGAGAAGGAATGCTTATAAGGAATCAAGTCCTTGAAAGACAACTGATGGATGGTGGCAAATCCTGTTGTGTCACAACCAAGCAACATATCTTCTTTACGCTACTCAGGGAAATTTGGATTTGCAAGGAAAACCGTAGATGTTCTAAAAACTGCTTGACAAGTTTTGTACTTAAACATGGAAGTCAAGCAAGGGTCATCGACAAAGTTGAAAGCCGACTTCTTCCGTGACACTAAAACCGCAAGATCCACTCCCGGCTACACATCAGATGAGTCATCTGCTCTGATGGGTGGTGGTGTGGAAGTAATTTTGCCCAGCGCCGAATCGACGGCCGGGAAGACGTCCAGCTTCGGCGCGGTGTTCATCGTTGTGAATGCCTGCATCGGTGCTGGATTGCTGAATTTCCCGTCTGCCTATCAGGCCGCTGGTGGCGTGTCAGTTGGGGCTAGTATGCAAGTGGTAAATAGGGCTCTTATATGTTTGAATTAAGATGTCTTAGACCTAAAGCATAATGACGTCGAGCTGTGTTTACATGCGCTTTCCTATGGGGACTCGATGGATTGCATCCCAATGTAAACAAAGTGGGACATTATTATGCTACAGGTCTTTTGTTTGGGCTGAATTCAAGTTCCTTAACTCCCATAAAGTTCTTGTAAATCCCTCCAAGGCCGTCACAAGTCATCCAGTCTAAAGTCCAGTCGCAAGCTTTTCAAATAAATGATGATGAAAGTATTCCGAACTCATTTTTAGCTTGTAAATTTTGACTCTGCTTGTGACTTTTCACCACTAGTTCAAAGCTCGAGATGGAGCAGTGAACTTTGAACATTTCTCTGTTCTCATGCCTATTTTTATTGTGCAGCTTTTCCTGTTTCTGATCATTTCGTCTCTACTGGTCTTGGCCGTCTGCGCCGACGTACAAAACTCGGCGTCCTACCAGGACATTATGCAGTCGATGTGCGGCACAGTGGGTAACTTAGCCTGTGCAACCTGCGTCATCATCTACTGCTTTGGGACCTGTGTGGCGTTCTTTATTATCATGGGAGACCAGCTGGACAGCAGTAGGTTTTAGTCGTTAGTAGTGGTAACAACATTTAGAAGTCACACAACTGACTGTACCTGTTTTTTAAAGGTGCCGAGGTGTTGCAATTATCCCATCTCATCGGGCTCATAACATCTAAACCTGCTGGAAACCATCTCAGCTCCCTGGGGAGTGTATAGCTTGATGTTAGCATTTTAGGCTCATACCAGTCAACGAAACAGCTATCTCGGCCCCCCCAGTACCCATTTGTACTCCTGGGTGGAGAGAGGCACATAGGGTAAAGTGACGTGCCCAAGATCATAACCATGTAACCAGGTGCTCGATTGAAATCCTTTTTTATTCCACAAAGTATATATTAGTATATTTTTATATTAACTTCATAATGCTTAGTAAAATGGTTGGAAGAGTTACAACAGTTTAGCCACTCAGAGGGACCTCTCGTACCCATCCACAAATGTGTCAATTTGTCACAAAATATGCCCCCAACTTCATGGAAAGACCAGGGCCCCCAGTATTTTGTCTGACCTTCAAAATAGTTGAGTCAGGTCATTGTGTCCATCATGTATGCAGTTTTCACCCCAACGGTTATTGTTATTCTGGCTGTTTTTTTAGTTTTAGCTCTAGCAACGCACAATGAAGACACAGGGCATTGGTACACAGACCGAAAGTTCACCATCACCGTCCTAGCAGTTTTGATTGTTTTGCCCTCTGTCTTCCAAAGAACATCAGCATCTTGAAGTGGCCGAGGTAGGGGGATGTTTTACGTTGGTGCTGTGAGGATCATGGGTCGAGAAATGGGCTTTATCTGCACAGGGTCTTTGAATGGTACCCTGTGGAATACTCAATAAAGGTCAAGTGGAGAAAGTTTGCCTATGTTCACTGGTTCACACATGCATAGCACAGTGTTTGTACATTTAATTTTTCAATGGAATGTATACAGCCAGATTTTCAGCAGAATGTGTACAACCAAGTTTCAACCCCATACAAACAAGTTACACAACCACATTTTTAACTGAATGTGCACAAATGAAATTGAAATTGAATGTGCTCAGAAATTAATAACACCCCTTTCAGTGAACTTTTCTGATCTCCTTTTATAGACGGCTATGATTGTGTCTTGTCATGAAGCTACAAACCCATTGTGCTCTCACTCGGCCTCACAGGAAGGCTGTGAGATTCCAAGTGAGATGTTATGCTTTTTGTTTCCCTCATCTACAGCTCTGTTGGAGTTATTGGGACCATTTACGTTGCCGTGGTGGTAGTTGCCAACTACTACCTGCTTCCGGCCAATGCAGCCACGCACATAGTGACCAGGCCTACATCTTGGACCGAGGTGTTTGCTGCTGTGCCCACGATATGTTTTGGCTTCCAAGTGAGCTCTTGAAAAAAAACCAGTTTTCATTCTGAGTGAATTACAAGCCCTCAAATGAGAGACTTGAACTGGGTAACTGAAATTGAAGTACACTGTGCCTGCTGTTACAGAGTTCCAGCCTGTTCTTGTTGATTGAAAAAAAATCCATCCTCAGTAATCTGTAATAGGTTACAGATCCATACTTTTACATAAATCCCACTTAATCTTATACAAATTAATAAGAGTGTGCGACATAAAAGGGTGACTCGATAGTTGAATTGACGTGAAGTTTGTTCTTTAAACTCGCCAAACTTGAAATTCTCAAGCTGGAATCTGATTGGCTGAAGTTTTTTTTTAGTGATAACGAGTGTCATAGGCCATTTAGGTTGCACTGTGACTGTGTCAACTATTGAACATGCAGTGCCACATCAGCTCGGTGCCGGTGTACGCTAGCCTGAAGGAGCGCACGTTGGGCCAGTTTGGCAGGGTGATTACTGGTGCCCTGCTCATCGCCACGGTGACTTACATACTGACGGGCGTCTACGGATCCCTCACATTTGGTGACCAGGTGTGCTCTGATGTGCTGCTATCCTACGATGCTGGGAATGTCATGGTGACAGTTGCCAGGGTGATGATTTTAGGCAATATGTTAACGTCCTACCCCATTCTTCATTTTTGTGGCCGGTAAGCGACCTGTCTGAAATTAAAATCAAAGTAACATGAGTAAATGAATCATTTCTACAAAATTGTAAAAGGTGTTAAAGTTATTTTGATGGATTGATGAAAAATGTTTTCTTGCTTTTTACAGGTTAGCTATTGAAACCGTGTACATCACAGCAACGAAACTTTCCCCGGCTGCTGCAGAGTTAACTCAAACTAGACGTCGAATCATTGAGACGTTAACATGGTTTGTCTTGTCGCTGGTGCTGGCGCTGTTTGTGCCCACCATTGGGAGCGTCATCTCAGTCATCGGCGGCCTGGCCGCTGTTTTCATCCTTGTCTTCCCAGGTGAGTGAACGGCCTCCAAACCACGATTTTGGATTTCCACTAAATGCTTTGCTTATGCTCAAAGGTCACATGTGTCATCTCGTTTTACTCTGAATAAAATGCTTGCAAGAAAAAAAGTGTATTGTCGCCCTGTGCATTGATTGGTCCGGTACAGGGATATTCCGCTAATTGCTTATGAATGCTTAGTGTTCTCCCTAAGGACACCTGTCTGACATAGACAGCTGGCAGGCAGGAAGTGCCGTAAGCCAGACAGAAATAGCCAGAGCAACAGTCTCAAGAAGTGTAGATTGTGTGAAGGTTTGGCTTAGCAAATGTTTCCTGCACTTTAGGCTTTTCAGTTCTTCCCTTCTCTGTGAGATTGACCCCTGATCGTGGTTAGGAGGTCCCGTAATCTTGAAGTTGGTTCAAGATTCCTTGAACATGTATCAAGTAGAATGTGCGTGGTAAGCCAAATCTGGTGCTTTTGAAGTTGAAAGTTTACTTGCCATCATAAAGCCTCCTAACAGCTCATTAAGTATTCATGTAGTGATCTCCAGCCACTGTCATGAAAAGTTTATTGGGTTTGTCATGAGCATATTTCAGTGACAAGTCCCAGGAGCTCATTCGAGTCTTCTCTTCTCAGCAAAATCCCAGCTGCTGTGCGTCTGCTCGTGCAAAGCCTCTGTTCTTGTTAACACATCTAATACCCTACTCATCTGAGCTTTCAAGGGAAGGAGACCCATATACTTTAAGCTGATGGGGGAGTTGTCACCAGTTTTTCTTTTCCAGCAAGGTGTGATTTTTATGATGCAAACCATTTTTTTTTTAATCTCTGGCTTTTGTTGCTTGGACTCTGCGTCCCTCAGGATTGTGCTTGACCCAGTATGCTCTGAGCTCTGTCGCTGCCGAACAGAGTCCTGCCAAGAGACGATGCCAGATCGTGCTGGGTGTTGTATTCGTGGCGTTGGGTACGTTCATGTTTGGGGAAAGCGTCACCGAGGCTTTGATGGTGGACTTTGGGGCACTGCCCTCTGGAATCTCAGGTTGCTGAACAAGGAGGGCTGGCACGGTTTATGGCGACATTCGGCTCAGGCAGTCGTCAAATTGCCACATCTTGAATTTTCTGCAAGAGATCCTCTTGCCAAGAGTGGAAACAAGTTATTTCAGGGATGTGATTGGTTGCTTTTCATGTAAATGTATAGCGTACATTAGATTAAAACAGAGACAGTAACTGAAGCCCATACTTCATCCAGCGTACCCAAAGCAAATTGTAAATGTTGTTACATGATGCACTTAAAGTGAAGCCCATGAAAAAACATAGCACATTACCAAGAGTTGTCATTACCACCACAGATCCTAGGGGGAGACTGGGGCTAGTTGTTAGAGGGGCAGTGTTTCTCTCCTTCCAGTCCAAACAGCTGAGCAAGCTCTAGCCCCAATCACATGGTCAACAATTGACCCTACATGTTCATGCTTTAATGAGAGCTCATCAGTATGTTGCATCTTAACACCATGGCAAAAAACAACAATTCCCTCGTTACAAATACAAATGGCAGACAAAACCGAACAAATCGAGGGTATTGCATAAAAGAGACAATGAAAATTGCTCCAGATACAAGTGAGCTTATACTTTGCCAGTCTTGATTTTACCTTATAAGGAAAATAAAAGGAACAAAGTAGAACGCGTCTCTGGGTATTGTGTGGAATTATTAGTAGTGTATCATATTTATTGAAACACAGTCCCATAACCCTAACTACCCTATTAAGGTTCCTGAAATTGAAACTGTAGGCTTTTTCAAGATTTGTCGATAGAGTACCACACATACGACTTTGTTGTTCATCTTTGTGAGTTCAAAGAACCTAGGCCTAAGGTGATGTTTGTTTTTGTTTTGGGGACACACTGTAGGTAGAGTGGAGTGACTGGCTAGCGGTACCATGGGTGAGGCTGTGCTTGATTTTGTCAGGTTTGGTACCACTCCTCTGGAAATCTCCCGTATACTGCAGGGACATATCCATACCAAATGAATGTGCAATCTTGTTGACGTGTTTAACAGTTTCTGGCCAGTCGTGTGCCAATAATTACTATGAACACCTTATGGATACAACACTACTAGTAGTTTCTGTTGAACATTAGTACTGTTCAGTACAACTTGCATCTGGGCACGGTAATTTCATAAATTAGGGGTCCAAAGTTTTTCGTGACCCTGTCACATCTGACATGTAGTTTGTAAGTTCAGAACAAATTCTCTGATTTCCAAGAGTGATGAATTAATGATAATTACATACCAAACAACTAGAAATAGTTTGAAATCGATTTCAGTGACATGTCCCTGTCAAGTTACACTTTTAGACCCCAACTTTATAGAATGACCCATCTACAAGTTAGGCCTATTGTTTGGTACTCAGTGGAATAACTGCGGTGCCCCCTTTTTTTTCGAGGGGACACACAAAAGAATAAGTTGCAGCAAATAAACTCAGAGATTTCAAATGGGAGCAGAGGCGCGTGGGAGTGTATTGTACAAAAGCTTGGTGGACAGATTAATTCAGCATTCATAAATACCCCAGACATGCCCGCTGGGTAAATCCGGCGCTGGCACCTATATTATATACTAGGCAAGATATGGGACGGAGGGGTACCCCTCCTTACCTGTCCAATTCCTATACACGCTCTAGACTATTGTTACCTAACACATCCCCCTAGAAGTCTGTGAAAAATTCCTGAGATTCCGAGCAAACAATGATCAACGCAAAGGCGGGGGGGGGGGGGGTTCTCTCCGTCCCATATCCTGCTTCAAATGAGCACCTGGATACAAAACGGGTCAATCGATTCTGATTGGGGAAGGTCTCTTCATGCAGCTTGCCACGTGCGCGCTAATTGGAAAATTTGTTCATGGAATATTCCAAAAAACAGACGGGGGTGTTGGGGAAAATGGAAGTAAAATTCAACAACAAAATCGATGGAAATCCGTCATATATTGACTTCTTTTGACTATCTGACTAAAACGGTTATTTGTGAATGGGAATGAATTACTAGGCCCTATGTGCTTAGTCGGTCTTCAACAAACATTTAAATTCTTCAAATTCCACTGCAAAGGTCAGCATGTCATATTGGGTGAAATCGGTTGGCGAAATTAGCAGCTGCCGATCTTTGAAATCAACTTGCATGTTAATCGGAATACAATTCATGTATATTGTTAATTGTGATATTCGCCCCATTCATTTAAATGCAGTGTTTTTCTTTTCTTTCCTTTTTTGTTTCTAATGCCTTTGCGGAAGAACTATTTTTTACAAAGCCATCACCAGTCACAAAGCACTTTGAGTTTGTATGTCTCTGCAATGTCGTAATGGAAAATCAGTTTCGTTTTGAGAAGTTACTCTCAACGTTGGTCGACTTCAGACGGCCTGTTCATGACACGGGTTTCTTGTTTTTCGCTCTCGAATGGCGGATTATAGGCTACCCCCTTGTCAAGGTTTGTAGCGCACAAATAGAAAACGCGCGAGATTTTGATTTTTGAACAGCTGAAAAGCAGTAAGATGGCTTACAATGACAATTTGCGCAAAATTAACATTACTAATCTTCCATAACGCAGAAATAAATGTAAGTTCTTTTTTTAATAAAAATAATTCGGGCTATTCACAATAGTGCGCCTCCAAGAGTTTGCAGCGCGTTGGCCAATCACAACGCGCGAAATCTGTTGGCCTTTCTTAACGCGCATTGGATGACAGATTTCGCGCACTGTGATTGGCCAACGCGTTGCAAACTCCTGGAGGCGCACCATCGTGAAGTGCTCGTATTGAGCCCAGTTATTCTCAAAAAATATATACAAATTCCGTCATGTTGCATGGTGCTTGCCACCAACTGTACCGGCGATATCCTGTTACGACGTTCGAGCGGCCGACCCACGAACAACAAATCGCGCTGTTTGTTACCAACAAGCCATGACCCGAACTCGACCTTTCACTCTCTGAATCACCAACGACAAAATTGTTCATACCCCTTATAAGTGTCTGGCACAAACTGGATGTATTACTCTTCATAATTCCTTCTACGTGTACTTTTACAAGATTGCTTGGCCCACTTGCAGAGAAACAACCCTACAGCATGATGCTCCAACCTCCAAACTTCGCGGTCAGCACAGTGTTCTTTGGGTTGAATGCTTCACCTTTCTTACGCCAAACGAAAGAAACATCCCTGTGGCAAACAGCTTCAGTTTCGTCTCGTATGACCACCGAACTGATGACCAGAAACTTTGATCTTTGTCTCGATGCCCTCTGGCAAATGCGAATTGAGTTTTTCGATGACTTTGAGTGAGGAAGGGGTCTGTTTTGGACGACGCCGGGTAACCATTCCTTGTGCAGTGTTCGGCGAATTGTACGCACTGAAACCTTGATGCCCATCTCACCTGGGTTTGTTCTGAAGTGCCGTGATTGTTGTTCTTGTGTTGGAGAGGGCCTCGCAGGACACCTTTATAACCAAAGGAGACACCTTCACCTTCCATCCATGCTTGCCGATGTTTTTCACAGTATTGAACTTTTGTACATCATGACGATGCACTGTACAGTGGAAATTGGTGCTCTTAAGAGCTCAGAAATGGCTGTATAGCTTTCCCCATCTTTGTGGGCATTCACAATGTTCCGAAACACACGGCAAACACAGTCAAAAAATGATTCCAGGGTACCACGTGGGGGTGCTACCACCAAGTCAAAGCCTGTAGACCTTAATCTCAGAGTCGGAAACCTGTGGAAAACCCTCAAGTCCAAGGTGCATGCTCGCAGGTCGTCCAACCCGAAAGAGCCAGAGGTTTCGCCAAGGAAGAATTGGCCATGATTACTGTGGATCTGCGCCAAACCCTCGTGAACAGCTTCACAAACTGCCCGGATGCTGTAATCAAGAATAAGGGCTTTAAGTATTACTTCTGATATTAACTCTTACTGATAAAGGGTATAAATAAATAATTCTGAGCATGTCAGCATTCAAACAATGTGGCATTCTCTTTGTTATGCAAACGAGGTAAAACCAAAGCCATAAGTCATTATACCTGAAAGCTAAAAGTATTCAACTATGGCCCCAATATTATTCTTTAAAAAACACAAAAAACCTGATATTTATAAGGCGTATGAATAATTTTGTTATTAACTGTATGTGATCCTGTGGGAATGCATGTAGGCAGGGTGAAGTTTTTGGTCGACAATGCAAAGGTGTTCAGTCGGGGAGAGAACAAAATTATCCAGCGGAAAAACTATTCAGTTTCTGTTTTATCTGTCTCTTTTATTACTGAATTTGTTTGAAATTGTTTTAAATTCATTTGCTTTATTTTCCTAAGTGTTATCGGGGCCCTTGATATTAGAAATTGTTAACTGACAAGGCTACCCTGTCGAAGTAAAAAGAAAAACTTCCATTTATCTTTATAAGCTCCCTTCAGAAAACTTGCAATGTTTTTCAAGGCCTAAAAAGTCGTGTCAAATATCAACAACTCATGATACTTGCGAAAAGAAAGTGACGTGCCCTGTATTGTGTTTCCCGGGATGTAGTGCTCGATAGAATGTTGAGAGAATGAGCCACTCCGGGAATTAAAAAACCCAAGGTCACTCCGGAACGAAGCTCGCGCGCCTCCGACGTGAACCGTTTTGGACATGCGCTGTTGGGATACCGAACTGCTACTAGTACTAAACAAAGTACTTTATTCATGGTCAAGAAACGTGTACAGACCTATTTCACAAATAATTCATAATTATGCACGCATGCGCACAGATGGCCTTGGCGGCAAGACGTGTGAGCGGGCCATTGAAAATGTACAGGGGTGCGACTTTCTCTCTCAGGTTTTCTAGCTTTGTTCATTTTTCTTCAGAAAATCGCATTAAATCATGTTTGCTATTAGTTTCTAATTTAAGTGGAATTTTTAGTGCTCTGTAAAAAGACTATAATCGTAATTTTCCTGTGCGCACGAAATCACCGTTTCTTCGTGTGGCCCCCTTCCTTCATAAGTAGCATAAACTACATTGTTTGTGTTCTTTGAGCCAGGCTGTACATTTGTAAAAACACATACGGATGTTCAATGTAGATGTACCGTTACTGTACCCATTCGATTCGCATCTTTCTGCCAGTGCACTTGGGAAATCTGAAGAACCAGATCCGTTTCTCTTTGGAATGTGCACTCTGTCTTGTACAACCCCAAAGACAACAACTGGATACCATTTACGTGGTACTCCATGCAAGCTTTGACCAAGTTCAATGGTGATTAAGGTAGGTCTATGTACGCACAATACAGTAAATTCTGCTGGAAAGTGGAGGGGGGGTGGGGGATGGGAAAAGGTGGGGGAGGGGGAATGACATGAGCATTTCAAAAGCGCGGGGGTTGACACTCTATATAGTGGTCGATGTTCATGATATTAACGCGTATCTGTAATATGTATTCATGGCATATTTACGGCTTTTAAAACAACTTTTCCCTTTGTTTAGGGACACTGAATGCAATTGAATCTTTGGAAGTCTGAAAAATTCTTCACAATCCACTTAATGTTTTGCTCACCACAAAAAATGTGTGATTTGAAATTTATTCCGTTTTGTGTGGGAGTTTTAAGTACACGAGAACAAAAGAAATACCCCACAAGTATACATACGTAAGGGTGGCGTGTCATGGGTTTAGAGGCCTTTTGGAGTAGGGGTCATCTGTGCTAAAAGGAAGAGGAATAGTCAAGGAAACTGTACATAAAAACCAGCCAAAAATCTTGTTCCTGGTTAAAGAAAAATGAGTATTTTCACTGAGTTTTCTTAACTGCACGAAAAACAAAGGAATGTCCACGGTAGGTATGTAACGTAAACGTGTGTGTGTGTGATTGTACTTTTGGTTTGATTACTGGAGTGACTCCGACACACGGGGATCCCCGTGTGTGTGTTATTTCATTGAGGAAGTGAGTGCTTTGTGTTGTACTGTGGTCACAATGGCGAATGCAATCATTGAAGTCTGTGTCTAAAAAATGCCATCTCGCAGTCTACGATAACCACTCATCAAAATATTTCAATGTAGTTACATGCAACAAGAGAAACAAACGGAGTGCTCAGCGATCGGACAAGCTTCAAGTAGTCATGGAAGAAAGGAGTTAAACTGAGTCTATATAGACCATCATTATATTTGAGGGGAACTTAGATCAGCGTCATACTATGCGTAGGTGTTCTCAAGAACAGCTGGAAACAACCTTCTCGCGTATCCGAAAAGTGCATGTATTGTGTGGAATAGTCAACTAGTAGTGCTCTAGACGTATCCACAGAAAAGTTTATCCCCTATTTCGGCTTCAATGTGAAACTAAAAAACTGTACTTGCCGAGGGAACTTACACATGACTCCTGAACAGTGCAGCTCTATCGAGGTGGACAGACCCATGACAGCTGAACTTAAACAAATATATTGTATTTATAAAAAGCAATGACTCATGTTACCTCCCACCACATTTGGAAGAGTTTTACACTTTGATCAATGAAAAACCTCCTCCAGA